TATGATATGGGGTTTTACAGTTTTACATAGCAGTTTTGTCGGGGCATGCCCGGAGAAAAAATATATAGCCGTAGGAACGGTTTTGATTGCCATATTGCCTTGTGAATACTGATTTTGGGGGTCAATTTTTGGCAGTGACTTTGGGCAGTTAATTTCGGTATCTTTTGGAGGCCTGCTGGCAGCTGCCCTGGCTTGCCTAGCCACCAAGTTTTGTAGTTTGCAAACAGATGAGATTGAGCCAGGGACTCAAAAATAAAATATGGTCTACAGGACGCATGGCATTGGCAGCCTATTAAACAAAAATGGGAGTATAGGACCTATCATTTCAAAATCGAACATCAGCAGTTTCTTCAGAATGTCACTGTGAACCTTATCGGAAATTGATCAAAACTTTCTTTTGCCCTATGAAAAACCAATATTAATTTACTTCATAGTAAGTGGTGGTAGTATTTCTCTTATTAATCTGATGGTACTGACTATAGTCTCTAGAGGCTTAGCTGCCGTGGCGTTTAAAAGAAGAAAAATCTCAACCCACCTATTCCACAAGCATTTTTTTGAGTAGACTTGTCGTGAGTTAGGTTATCCAACAAGTTCATAGATTTGGTTTGGTTTGATTTCGCTCGATAGAATTCTAGACAAAAATTTTCAAATCCTAGTCTGAAAGTATATTAGTATTAAAGATTTTTATTTTTTTGCCAGAAATTAAAGATTTTTTTATTTAAATTTAATTATTAAAATTAAAATATTTTAAAAATTTTATTAATAATTTAAAAAAATAGTTTAAATTAATAATAAGCTTATAGAGTTTTCAACCAAACCTATATTTTTGACTAGTTTTATTTTTGGTACGTTAGAGGTGACTGATACATTTTATACCAAAGTCTATGCTATGCGCATGACTTGGTGTAGTGCGTGTATGCAAGCGGTAACATCAAGTTGGATAGCTTAAATTTTATCTCTTAAGCTTTGTAGTCTCATATCTAGCTTGTGTTATTATATTTTCTTCAGTTGTTTTAATTACTTCAATCCAATTATGAGAATTGGGCCATGGTTTGTGTAGGTAGTGGATTTCAGGGTAAGCACTTGAAAGCGAAAGAAATACGTCAGGAGAGATCAGAGATTGTTTCAGAGAGTTGGCTTTTCCACACTTAAATTTAATAAGTGGAACTGATGAGCTGAAAGAAAAGATTAAGGGAAAATAAGAGTGTAATGAAAGGTTTAGGATTACTTGAGAGCAGAGGCAAAATCCGATATAGGGAGTAAAGAGGTTCAGATAATAAATTTAATGAAAAAAAGGATCAAATGGTAAATTTTATAAGAGAGACTATACATAGGGTAATTTTATTTACATTTAATTTATTACTATATACATATCAAATTTAAAATTTAATTTTTTATTTTTATTAAATATACGTCCACCCTCTCACTTTTTATTTTTCATTTTTATTCTTTCTCTCTTCTTCTCTTTTCACTTTTCAATAAAAAAAAAAACCTTAAATCCATCAAATTAATCCAAACCACTTGTGTTTTCAGAGTTTTTAAATGATTAAAGATAAAATTCTTACCTTGTTTTTGATTGATTTTGGTTGAATTATGTTTTTGACTTAGGATTTGCGATAAGATTTAAGTGAAATCAAGTTTCTCAAAAATGAATATTCGAGAAGTTTTAAAACTTCTTCAAAATGGATCTTTGAAAAACTTAAAGAAATTTTAAATATCCATTTCTGAGAAATTTTTATTTTTGGATATTTATTTTCAAGAAACTCTAAGGTTTATTAAAAATCTATTTTTGAGAAGCCTTAAGTTTTTTCGAAAATCTATTTTCGAGAAATCTTAAAACTTATCAAATATTCATTTCTAAAAAATCTTAAAATTTTTCGAATATCTATTTTCGAGAAACTCGATTAATAAAGATTTAATTGAAAATATATACGCTTATAAATCTATTTACTTGATCATGTATGCGAATAGAAAAGATATGACAATTTTTTTCTGGTATAATAACTTAGCATTATAAAAAACATTAACCTTGATAATGTTTATAGTAGACTGACAAATTAGGATTTAAATAGTTATATCTTGAAAAAATCATTAGAGATCTCTTTGAAGATCTTGGCAAGGGATAGATCTTGGCAAGGGATACTATCTAGGTCAATGTTAGGTCAATGTTCGTAATGGTACCAAGAGTTGAAATCTACTTTTTTGTACCTAATGCAACAAAGGAACTTAAGTGCTTTCTTTCTTTTGGTTTTGGCTTTAAAATTATTGATTTTGTTTGAAATGACAGGAGAACATTTGTATGGTTTAAATACTTAATTTAAGATTAATTTTTTTAGTATTATTTATTTTAAAATTAAATGTATTATTTTATTTAAACTAAAATTAAACATTATAAAGAGTTTATAATTAAATATATATCTAAACAAAAATTTATGTATTTTTGAAAATAGATTTTCAAGAATATTGTATTCTCATAAATTTATTTAAAAAATTGTAATATAATTCTTAAAAATCGATTTCTTAGATTTTAGGGTTCAGTGCATGTGAAAAAAGATATTTTGATCATTTAGTAAAGATTAAAATTAATATTTGCTATGTGGGTATTTTGAAAGAAAATTTAAGAGATTTATAAAAAAAAGATTTGATGGTGTATTTAGAAGCCTCCCTATGCATATAAGATTGTTAAAATTTGGGGGGCAATGGTCCATGCCTGGCTCCTAGCTACACCCCTGCTGAGAGCGCCAAATACCTTATATGAGAGAGACATGGATGAGTTGGTGCAAAGAAGTTGGGCGACCTGGTATGGTACACTCCTTGCAATGTATGAATGATACGCATCTACAGTCATCAATTGTCTGAATTGAGACAATCAGCGATATTCACACCTGACCTTGTTAGAACGTGTCTGATGTGGTGCTATGCTAAATTAGTTATTGGTCTCACTCGATCGAGGTGAAAAAAACTAAAATTCCCTTCAACTAGTGTGATAATTCAGACAATATGATCTTTCTTATGGCAAGTCAAAGTTGAATGGTGAGCTTAGATCAGCAAACAAAAATTGAGGTCCTTAGGTGGGCAATTGCCCAATTGAAACCAAAATTACCCTTTTTTATTCTCCAATTATTGCTGCTTTGGTTGGCAAATGACAATTGCCAAAACATTGTCATGATACTTGCATTTTAAATTATCATCGTTTAATATATATGCCAATCAATTACAATATATATTTATATATGTAAAGGTGCCATGATCCATGGCAAATTTTACCAAGGTGAAATCATGTCAAGGTAAATTTATGTTGATGTGAATTTATTACAAAGGAATTTATATTGAAGTGAATTTGTGCAAGGTGAATTCGTTATGAAGATGAATTTATTGTCAAAATGAAGTTATGCTGAGATGAATTTATGATAAGGTGAATTTGTTGCCAATTAGTGTTTTTTTTTTTCCCCTTATTCGCATAATGAATAATCTTTGGTGATTCTTCTGGCAATTGGCAAAGTCAAAGTTGTTTGTCGTGAACTTAATTTATGCATTATTTATATTTTGTTATCCTGATAATTTTACTTATAAAATTTAAAATTTTTACTGATGATGGATGAAATAATTTTATTATATATGTAAAAGAAATCCAATTATATTTTTATAAAACTAATTGCTTTAAAGACCTTTTCATATTTTTTTATTCAATTTATATTTTATTAATCAAATCATTAAATTTTATATTATATTCGCATAGATTGTGCATCCCCAAATTTCAAGTTAATTAAAATGTTAACTATTTGTTCAATAATAAAATTTAAACCGTGAATATATTAAAGAAATATTATTATTGATCAAACTGATAAAAATATTGAATTGATTTAAAATTTTATATGCATTACATATATAAGTATATTGTTAAACCTAATTAGTTTATAAAAATATGAAATTGTAATTGAAGTTATAAAAAGTATAAAATAATTTTTTTACATTAATATAACTTGATTCTTCTTATATATATATAATTTATGTGAATAGAGATTAAAATCGAATCATATAAAAAGATATAAATTTAAGTAAAACTAAATTAATTTTGTATTAATATAAATAAATTTATCCTCGTGTATATATATTTTTAATCTATAGAGTGAAAAAAAATTGTAGTGTAAACCTAAAAAACTTTTCTTAATTTTTGTGCCACGACGTGGTAAGACCTCACCTTTCTTTTTTTTAACTAATCCATTTCATTTTACACTTTTTTTCCTTTCTCTATAAACTCTTATTGATTTTTCAATTTTGATCATAACTCTCCTTTAAAAATGCCAACCAAGTAACCCAAGAATGATGTGACTTCCACATAATCTATTGCATTAATTATCATGTCAATAACAAACCAAATCCTAAGTTTTAAGTTCTTTTTTATCTAAAAATAAAAATTATATAGTCACAGGTGAAAACAAAAAAAAAAAAAAAAGGAAAGAAGAGGGAATGAGATAAATAAAAAAAAAATTGAATTTTGATTGATGTAGCAACTTATGTAACAATAACATCATTTTTCGATCACTTGGTTGGATGTAATATGTTGGTTGATCAGATTTGGTATAATAAGCAAATTTCAGTAACTTATTTGATATAAACTAAAATTCAGTGACCAAAATAAAAAATGCTTCAAAATTTAATGATCATTTGTGTAATTTATTCTCAAAATAAATTATATAATTTTCATGATTCAACTTAATTATATCAGATGTTATTATTATATTATACATATGTGTGGATTTATACGTGTAGTTGAGTAATTTTCCCAAGTGATCCCTTTCATTTACTGATTACTTCATGGATTTATTCGGCAGGTTAAATTAAATTGATAGAACTTTCTCTCCTTTATGAAGTGCTTAAGAGGAGAAAAAAAGGGGGGGGGGGGGAGAATGATGAAACGGTAATGTTTAATGTGCATTAGCAATTGCTTGATAAAATTAATTGCTACATTGAAGAAAAAAAAGGTTTCTAATCCTCCAGCCAAAATAATTGTTACATTATTTATTACTATTTGTTTCCTAATTTTATAATTTACGAAAGAAAAATAAAAATCAAAGTTGAACACTAGAAATGTCAGTTTTCAGCATATGCACCGTTGTAATCAAGAACAAAAAGGGAAAGAAGGAATTGACAGGAAAAGTCCAGCAGATGGGCGGGCACTTAGTCCACATGCATGAGCATGGCATTCTTTAAATCCATCAATATTAACAAAACAAATTAAAAAAACTAGAAAAAACAACATCAATATCATATCATAATTAAAAAAACCATATATATATATCACTATAAAGAAAAGAGCATACATTTTTATCTTGCAACAAATGCCATTATGAATTCTGTATCATAATCTAAATTGCGGATTGATAAATCTTGGAAAGAGCTTGCAAAACATTAACTTGTAACCTCAAATGCAATATATAATCAGCTGTCCTCAAAAACAGTGGATCCGGCTGCAACCCTTTCCCTCCTGGAATTAACTTTTGCAACTTCTTCACCTTCATTCTAACTGACCTGCCACCGCCATCACCACCATCACTGCTATACGTCCGCCTCCTCCTCCTGCTCCATTTCACTTTAGAAAACTCTTTATACCTCCTTGACTCCGTATGTTTCATAACAAAACGAAGAAAATTAACAAATGAGTCTAAATATCCTAAACTTAAATTAAGAAGAAAATGAAAAAAAAAAAATAGAGAGAGCAAAAGGAAGTGCCTTATGTTTTTGAGTCAAGGGAATTAAAACTTTTGATGTGAAGAAGAAACGGGAGTGAGAGGGCTTTAAATGATGGAAGAGTTTTAGAACGGGGCCATGTGAGCCGAGCCTTGATGTTCCTATCGGCTCTTTCCACATGAAGCATACAATTTTAATTTTAATTAATTTACTTATTATTGGGTTTTAAATTTTGTAATTTTTGTTTCTAATTTTTAGCCACACGCTCTCGAAATTTTGTCGTTTACAAATGTGGGCTTTGTGATAGGGCCCAACAATGCTTACCTTTCAACTGACCTACGCAAGTGTCTGACAGCTATCTCACACGCCTAAATCCAAACACCGCCATATAAAAAAAATCTGTCCTCGTAATTCTCGAATCCCGACAGATATGGCCTTTGACAAGTGTCTCATCTTTGGCCACGTCATAACTAGTCGACGGCTAAAGATGAACCCCTTTTTCCCGGGTGGTTTTGATCACATGGGGTGCTGTCCAACCAGGCTCCAGGGGGGCTGATTTCTGATGAGATGAGAAAGTTTGAGGGTGAGCTGCAAGAACGCGGAAGAGGGTAAGCTTTGGGCCTTTGAATTGAGGGTAATCCCTCCAATCTAGATCGTCCAAAAGATTATTATTATTATTATTATTATTATTATTATTATGATGATGATGATGATGATGATGATGATGATGATGATGATGAAAATTAAAAGGAAAGAAAGTGAATGGCTGGCAAGAATGTGAAAGCGAGTAGAGAGATGTATCACAAGGGGGTTGGTTTTTGTGGATAGGTAGCTACAAACAAAATGGTGGATGATCCCAATTATAGTTTTTATTTTATTTTTTTCTTGCATGATTTTTGTACAATGAATTAATAGTTAATACTTGATTAATTCATAAAATAAAGATATCCTTTTAAGGAACACATTGTATTATTGAATACCAAAATTGAAGTATTTTGGATATAAGATGGAACTTGTTCATGTTCTTTTAGAGGAGATGATTGGGTGTTTTTGTTGGGAGCCAAAAGCAACTTTGGCCAATTCTCAACTGTCACCCTCTTTTTTTATATATATATATATATATATATTTAATTCATTTGATTTGAGGGTCAGAATACATTTTTAAATCCAACCTCTAGTATCTTCTGATCGTTTTTTTTATAGATCAACTTCTCGCCAACCTCAAAGCAATGCATCCAATCATCTCCTCTCCTCCAAAAGGCCATCAACAGAACTAATGGAAAATTTTGGATCATGCATGTAGCGTGCATGGACGCCCATGCTGTTGAGATATTAGATTAAACATAAACATGCTTTAAAGCTTTTCATTCAAAATGACATCCCATAACATAAACCTAATGTTTCCCAAAATCTAGCTTAATCATGTACTCTGTTGGAATTCCCTTATTGATTTGTTTCACTATTTTAATGATTTGTTAATCCTACTTGTAGTTATAATCTATTGTTTGTCGGATTTCCCGAAGCAAATCTATCTTAGCTGTTGAAAAGTCAGTGGCTGACTTTGCCTTTGTTGTAAATTATAATTGATGCATGTGAACCCAAAAATTTAAGAGGCAATATAGGTGCGTATAAAACTTGTCCGTACATATATTTCAACTAATTTATTATTCGTACAGTGCATAAATTATTTTTATTTATATAAATATGTATATATATAAATTAATATTATTTAATTATTTAGATGTTCAATAAATATGTAAATTATAAATAATATAATTAAACTATCAAGACATAATAAAATTTTAATTTTTAATTAAAAATTTTAAAATATATAATAATATTTGAGAAAAAATAAAATATTCAAAAGATTTATATATAAATTGTATTATTGAGTAGACCAATAAAATATTAAATTAAAACTAAAAATTTCATCACTTCATATTAACTTTCTTCAATTTGTGCCATTTCTATCTTGTGCAATTATTTTTATATACTTGTAGGTTTATAAAATTTTAAGATAAGTTTTATTTATTTGAAAAAAGCAATGATTTTAAATGTTTAAATAATATGCATGATAATTTACTTGCATATATATATTTTTTGCATAAGTTTTATTAATATCTTGATCTTCAACATCTATAAGATTCGTCAAATTAATTTTTGTTCTTGTTTTAAACTTTACATTTGATGTAAAATTGTATTACTATAAAAGCTGAAATAAAATAGTTTTAAATTTTAAGTAATAATATTTAATTTTAAACAATTATTTAAAAATTTTGTTATAAAAAAGTTTTAATGAGAAGGTGTTCTCATTCACAAGATTTTATAATCAATTTCAAAGATAAAAAATTTACTTTTTACTTTTAGTACTTATATTTTGCTTCTAGAAAAAAAACCAATAATAATATAAAAAATTAATTTATAAAATTTAATTTCAAATAAATAAACACGATTTTACTTTTATATTAAATAATTATGTTAGAATTAGTGCTACATCTTAGTAATTTGTCTTTATTAATAAATTAAAGAAAAAACAAATAAAAGTAAAAGCACAACAAAATTAACAATTAAAAGTAAGCCCATACAATCTTTTTTAAATAAATAAAACAATGCTTAAACAATTAAATCAATATTTTTTACCTTTAATTGTTAAAGTATTTCATAAGAGTTATTATTGTGTTAGATTAATCTTTTTCCTCCACTTCAACAACCACGAATTGTCAAAAAAATTTCTATAATATCCATACATATGCTTTGGAATAAATAAAATATTTAAAATTTTCTTAAAAATCTCAAAAACAAAAAATATTGATTTAAACTTGTTGTCATGTGAATGCACATATCATAAGAATATAGTAAAAAAATTGTGCATATCAAATATTAAAAAATTATAAAAATATAATAAAAGATTTTATGTATCTCACATGTTAAAAACCATTTCTTTTCAAGCATAAAAATTGAAAAAAAATAAAAAAAATAAAATTAAGATTGAGAATATCATTAAAGAATAATTTGTCTTCTACATTTGGTCTTTTTAAATTTAAAAATAACCAAATAATAAAGGACTATTATGAAATCTTTAGAAATAAAAGTTATATTTTAAAATTTTAAATTTAAAATGATATATTTAAATTATTAAAAAATTCATTTTATAATATCACTGCATTTGAGATTTTTAGATTTAAAAAGTATATTTATATTATTAGAAAACATATTTTAAAAGATAATATATCACTATTTTTTAAATTTTAAATTGGAAAAGATATATATATATAGATTATTTGGAAATTCATTTTTTAAAATAATATATTTAAATTATATTTTGTTATTAGTAATTTAAAAATAATTGAATGGGTTTTCAGTTAAATTTAAAAATTTTGGATAATTAAATAAATTTTAAATATATATATTTTTGATAAATAACTTAAAATTAGGAAATGTTTTACATGTCACTATAAAGAGAAATTTAAAAAATTTTCCTACACGTGAAAGGAGAAACTATCCACTTAAACCTTCATATAATCAAATTTATTAGATTAATTTCTATATATATTGTAATATAATACTAAATATGATTGCAATTGGACATGTATATATACTTGCCAAACACAAGTAGTCAATAGGACCATGCATTCTTAGTCGTTAAATTATAGTATAGATGCATTAAAACATAATAAGATTAATTTAAATGATTCATTCACCTTTCTTAAAAATAGATTTTTGCAAATCATAAATTCTATCCAGTGTACTTGTAAATTCCCTCTTTCCTTATTATCTCCTAAGCTTTGGTTCACTTATATTAAAAAAAAGATCAAAATAAGCTTAATCTGGATCTTATGCCAAGTCTAATACTTTTGTTCCTATTTTCTATATCCTATTAATTAAGTCCTTAACAAGACATTCCTATTCTATATATTTTAGAGCATTCACATTGAAATTTTGATTGAAATAGACATGGTGTATTGGTGTGATTTAATTATAGGATTATGTACCAAAAAAATAGTAAAATATATCATTGAAGAACCTCTTTTTATTTGTTTTAAAAAATAATTTTGAAAATAAAAAAAAAAAACAAAAACACAAAAAACACAAAATGCTAAAGGAATATGGAAGCAATCTGAATCAATTACAAACAAGATATTCCTTTCATGATTAAAAATGATATGAGAGGGATAAAAGTTTGTTAAAAAATTAAGGGTTAATATTATGAATAACTCTTGAATTATAGTAAAATGTTTAATGTGATATCTGAACTTTAAAAATCTCTAATGCGATATTTAAATTATCAATTTGTTAACTAATTATTTAATAGATTCATATTTCAGGTATAACATTAAATATTTTTAAAGTTCAAATAACACATTAAGGTCATGTTTGGTGCATGGGATAATGATAGGATGATAATCCTTCTATATTATGTTTAGTTTGTATCTAAAGAAAGAGATATAATTATAAGGAGGATTAATCATTCTCTTGATATATGATGATTTAATTATTTCAAAGTGGAGAGGATTATTTTCAATCCATAAAATTAAATTTATATGTTCTATTGTATTCTTAAAAATTATATCAATAATTTAAATTGCATAAATTTTGAAAAGGATAAATTTGATCAATAAATAAATTATTTTATCTTAATCATTACACACATTAAACATAAAATAGGATGACATTATTTAATCTAATTTTATTCATAATATCATTTATTTTATTCTATCATAATCTTATATATCAATATATCCTAAATATTTTGTTATAATTTAAGAATCATTCATGATAATATTATCCCAAAAATTAATGAAGATAGAGGGAATCGCTTAACGAAGCCAGCAAAGAGAATCAATATGCTAGAGTGGAGTGGAGATAATGCTTGCGAGAGGTCAACTTCCATGGATACAACATTATATACAAAAAAACATATGGATATGGGTTTTTGTCTACATGTCGGAGCTGTTTACATGAATACATAAGTTTGGGGGTCCCCTACCCCTACTTGGGGGCCTCAGAAACTTCCAGGATTCACCAGGACTGTTAAAAGCCCATGCCATGTGCTGGATGATGATTACTCTCCAGATACTTATATGTTAGTTATGCTTATACATGCATGTATATATACATATTATATACAAACATCTTCATGCAGCATTGAAGCAAACATCTTCGTGCAACATTGAAGCAAACCAAGCTATTAATATTACTATACAGTATATATATAGTTTCATTTGACAATGTTAATGCATCTCATTGTTTGTATATATGTATATATATACTCATCAATGTATCCAGATTTCAAAATCGAAA